GTGGTATTACTGGGGGCGAGCCGACCCATTCGTGCGTAGATGTTAAAGCGGGCTCTACCACTGTTAAATTACTGTATTGTACTTTTAATAAAAATCGATACAACATGCAGGGGTTAGTAACATTTTCGATTTATACGTGAGACCGAAAACTGTATTTTTTAATTTAAACTCATTCACTATTTTAATATTACAATAAAATAACAAAAATAATCATATTAATGGAAGTGTGGTTGCTATGGTTACTTAAATTTCCAACAAATAGCAAGCATTTTCCTTGTTTGAATATAAACAACAAAATAAAGTTTTTATAACATACGGATGAAACCACTTTACAACAATTATTTGAATTGATACATTAACTGATTTGTATACTCAGTATACAAATAGCTTAGTATACAACGAGTCAGTATTTTGTATGCTAACCGGTATGTATACTTACTGGTTATTAAGGCTATGTATTTGGTCTACATCCACAGTATTCGCCAGCAACCTCGCCTGTCGTATTTCTATAATAGAACTGCTTTTAGCACCGCTGTATGCGGACACTCGTACACTAAATCTATGGTTTTCTGAAAGAAAAAAATATTAAATTGTTTATATTTTCGTAAGATATTATTATAATTAGCTGTTGCTCGCGACTTTGTCCGTGTGAAATTAAAAATAGTAGAATATCTAGCCTACGTTACTCACAGATAAATTACCTTTCTAACAGTGAAAGATTTTTTAATAACGGGTCAGTAGTTTTTGAGTTATTTCAATGCATACAAAAATACAAATCTTTCCTCTTTATAATATTAGTATAGATAAAAAAAATTCGCGAAGTTTATTTAAAAAATCTATTTTATAAAATTTGTCTCAACTTAAGTCAATGTTAAGATCTCCGAAAGTTGGAGTTATTTTAACGAACTTTGACTGGGAGGTAACTTAGCTAACTTGAGTAATATAGTTTAAGTTTTTTAATGTGTAGACAACTATTTAATACTTACCAGTGAAGTAATGAGTGATATTAGCGGGAACTTTAGCGCTGTTTTTATAAGTATGGTCATTGCCTATGGGTATCCTATGCACGCCGTACTGCCGGCAGAGGTAGGAAATTATAGCCTCCGGACCAGTTATCGTATCTATTAGATATGTGTAGAAACCTAGGTAGCTGGAAAAAGACACTAATTTAGAACTTCCTTTGGGGAAGTTTGTTTCGTAGTTAATAAGGCAATTGCAAAGTTGATCACTGCAGATGTCCGCAACTGTACTATTGGGGAATATTAAATTTGTACTTGAAAGTTACAATCGATTTATTTATTTATTAAATAACTTTATATGGAAAACCTTCGTAGTATACATGTTCAAGATTAATTATAATTCACAAATATGTGCGTTGTATTGAAAAGTTCGCTTTCATTGTCAATACACAGTACAAAAAAACTGTGGTCTTGCCAGACGCCAAGCGAGTAAATAATAAGGCTGAACGGATCTCGATAAAACTTGGCATAGATATAGTACGTAGTTTGGATAAACACATAGGCTACTTATTTTTGTTTTATTTTTTATTCCACGCGATTGGAATCGCGGGTGAAAACTAGTTAGTTTACTGGTTAATAGTTATTTTTAATATAACTCTATTTGTCTACGTAATTTGTAAATATATTTGTCTTTTCTGGAGAGGAGCTTGTCTCGTAGCAAAAGGAACAAGGCAATGCCAGTGTGTGCTCACCTAAGTTGTGTAACATCAGCTCTGTGCACTGCGCCGGGGC